TGCTTGGAGGCGTCGTCCTTTGCAGATGACCTCGAGCACGAGAGGCGGCGTTGCTCGGAGTACCCAAAAATAGTTTCATTAATGGGGTCATAGGGTACATCCCAATAATCCGTACACACCTTTTCGTTGCTATCTGCTCCTGAGCTAGCAGCTGGCCAAGGCTGCTTGGAGAACGGCTCTTCTCCAGGGCCCGGAGTTTCCCTGACGACTGTGCGTGTCGTTGATGCCGAAGAACTGGAGCATCCGTTGAAGGGGTTCGGGGTTTTTTGCAGCTTCTTGTAGACCCCCAGCTTCCTCTTGAGCTGCTTCAGCTCCACCGACGTCTTCCTGGGGAGCGGGTAGTCGTTGTGGGCTGGTGTCGGGAGGGACGTTGACTCCGTGGAAAGGTCGGCTTCTTTCCACACTCCTTAATTTGGTCCCCAAGTTGTCCGGTACCGGTATAATCTCCACAGCTTTCTGCTTCTTTTGGAGTCCCTCCCGTATTTTCTCCAAGGCTCTAGCCCCTCGAAAATCATAAGTTTTCATTAAAGCATCTTTATAGGATAGCTTTAACGAATTCTTATAATTTCTTGGGTCTTCAAGGAGTTTCCCCGTCTCGGCAGAGTCTTTTTTCGCGGAGTCTGATTTTTCCTCGGCGATTTTCCCTGGCGAAGACTGGTCGTGAGGTGGAGATTTTCCCCCATCATTTCCTCCTTCTCGCGTCGAATCAGCTTCGTCGAAGTTGATTTTCCCGGAATCCCGCGGCCGCTTTCGGATCTTTTTATTTTCGCCAGCTAGATCCGCAATCACTGGCGACTCCCATTTTTTGGCTTCTGATTGGCCGGAAGATTTCCGCCACTGTTGCGTGCCCGATACTCTGCGCGTGCGGCCTTCATTTTGTTGCAGTCGAAGATTCGGTGGCCCGGCACCCCCGCAAAAATCACACGTGTAATTGGTGTTTTTTGGACGTGGCCGCCCGTCGAATCTGTCGATCTCCATCGGGTCGGCGAACGTGGTGTGAGCCGAGCGGTCGCCCTGTCGCGTACTGCCGACGTGCGTCCGTCGTGTTCCGGCGTTGACCATGTCGAAGCGCTCCGCGGCCGAAACGACGTCACTGTAGCTCGCGTAGTTTGACGCTGCCACCTGTCGTTTGACTTCGGTCTTCAGCCCTGCGAGGTATGATTGCACTTTTTCCCCTTCGGTCAGGTCGGGAATTCGGTATAAAATTCTTCCATCTGCTGCGTGTACTGTGCTACACTCCCGAACTGTCGATGGCGATGAATTTTTTCGCGGGCAAGGAAACCTGAATTTATCGGCTCGAATCGTTTCAGCAGGTCGGCGCGGAACTGCTGCCACGTGGCTTCACCGTGGATGAAGGTGCTGTTACCGCCAATCCACTCGAGTGCCGGCCCTCGCATCAGTGTCGCCGCGAGTCGTACACGTTGACCGTCCCAGACTGGCGAGCTCCATCCGACGGCTGCGAAGTAGATCTCCATCCCGGCGATCCATCTGCGGGCGTCGGAGTTTCGATCGCTCGGATCGAACGGCTCAGGTGGGCGCGGTTTTGGAGCCTCGAGAAATTGCTGCGACTGCTGCGTCGTCGCCGTAGTCGTCTCGTGCTGCGCTCCGGCGAGTCGAGTTACTCGCTCGAACTGGTTTCGCCACGCTTCGCGATCCGCTCGCATTTCCTCCTGAAGGGCTGCGATGCGCGCGAAGAGCTGCTGGGTAACCTCGGCGTTGTCGAAGGTTGCCATCCTGTTCAAAACACGCACGGAGGGGGTAATTCGAAAAATCGCGGAGCTGGTGCTTACCAGAATCGGCGTCGAATTGGTCGCCCCGGCGGTTTTTCGAAGCAGGTTTTCCCGCTGCTGCTGCTTTGTTGAGCGCGGCCGAGTGAGAAAAGCTCTGATTACCAAGTGTCACAGGATCGAATGACTCGAGGATCGATTGCACTATCGATCAGTACAAGGCGCTTTTATACTTCCAGAGTACATCAGGTAACCAGGTTTATCCTATCTAAAGGAATAGACCCTTCTAGAAAATAGAATCACCCTGCGTATAGCCACGCGAGGCTATTGGCTTTAAGGGATTACGGCAGGATTACGCTAGATAGCGTGTCTAGAACATTCCATGCCTGGTCGGTGATATAATAATAATAAAGGAAGAAACCAAAGGATAAGGGAAAATGGGAAATATGAGGCCACAAGAGATGAGATAAAAAGAGGAATGAAATGAAGATGAAATATGGAAAAGGCCAAGTGGTGTAACGAGGTCGTACTCTCACAGGTGGCAAGCAGGTAGAGGGTAGAGGTAATGGGCGGCTGGTGGGCTCTAAGCTGGGCGTCAGTGCAGGCAGCGCGCCAGGTCTCATCTATCGAGCGCAGGTGGGCAGCGAGGTCAGAGACAGTGGGGAAAGATGCAAGGTCAGGAAAGAGCATCGGAAGGATCAGGCGACCCACCGAGGCAGCCGGAGGGGTGGAATAGCGCTTGATCACAGCATCTAAGTATGCCTGACAGTAGTGAGGGACCTAAAGCGAGGACGCTCGGATGGGGGAAGGGCGTTGCTAATGGCAAGCTGGGCAACAGCATCGCGAGAAAGCCAGACAGAGCGCGCACGGGCAGTGGCAGCAGTAGACTCACACTCAGTGGGTGTGGGGTCAGCGGGCAGGATAGCAGGGGGGTCTGGGCAGGGGAGCGTACCGTCAAGGTGTGCGGAAAGCGGTTCACCATCCTGCCGCTGGCCAGTGAGTTGGCGGCGGAGGTCGGCAAGCCACGCCTCGAACTCTAGGGGCTGACCTTCAGCGTCGAAGCGAAGCTCCGCCGCCATCAGGAACAGTGCAGTGCGGTGCAGGGCAGTGCAGTGCGGTGCAGTGCGGTGCAGTGCGGTGCAGTGCGGTACAGTGCGGTGCAGTGCGGTGCAGTGCGGTCCAGTGTGGTACAGTGCGGTGCAGTGCGGTGCAGTGCGGTATAGTGCGGTGCCAGGCAGTACAGTGTGGTGCGGGGCGGCACGGAGCAGGGCGGGGTGGGGGGGGGGGGAACCGTACCAGTGTGGAGGACGGGGCCGGGGCTGGCCCGACGGGGCCGGGCGGGCGCGACGGGACCGGGCTGGTGCGACAGGGCCGGGACGGGGCGACGGGGCCGAGCGGGCGCGACGGGGCCGGGCTGGGGCGACGGGGCCGGGCGAGTGCGGCAGGGCCGGGCCGGTGCGACGGGGCCGGGCGAGCGGGACAGCGGCCGGGCGGGTGCGACGGGGCCGGGCGGCTGCGACGGGGCCGGGCAGGGTGCGACGGGGCGGGCAGGTGCGACGGGGCCGGACGGCTGCGACGGGGCCAGGCAAGGGCGACGGGGCCGGGCGGGCGCGACGGGGCCGGGCGGGCTGCGACGGGGCCGGGCGGGCGCGACGGGGCCGGGCGGGTGCGACGGCGCCGGGCGGGCGCGACGGGGCCGGGCGGCTGCGACAGCGCCAGGCGGGCGCGACGGGCCGGCGGCTGCGACGGGGTCGGGCAGGGTGCGACGGGGTCCAGGAGGGGCGCTACAGGGCCCAGGGAGGGCGCGACGGGGCCCAGTAGGGGCGCTACGGAGCCACGGAGGGGCGCGACGGGGCCTGGGAGGGGCGCGACGGGGCCCAAGAGGGGCGCGACAGAGCCCAGGAGGGGCGCTACGGGCCTGGGAGGAGCGCGACGGGGCCCATTAGGGGCGCTAGGGGGGGCCTGGGAGGAGCGCGACGGGGCCTGGGAGGGGCGCGACGGGGCCTGGGAGGGGCGTTACAGGGCCCAGGAGGGGCGCTACGAAGCCCAGGAGGGGCGCGCCGAGGCCCAGGAGGGGCGCTACGGGGCCCAGAAGGGGCGCGACGGGGCGCTACGGGGCCTGGGAGGAGCGCGACGGGGCCCAGGAGGGGCGCTAGGGGGCCTGGGAGGATCGCGACGGGGCCTGGGAGGGGCGTTACAGGGCCCAGGAGGGGCGCTACGAAGCCCAGGAGGGGCGCGACGAGGCCCAGGAGGGGCGCTACGGGGTCCAGGAGGGGCGCGACGGGGCGCTACGGGACCTGGGAGGAGCGCGACGGGGCCCAGGAGGGGCGCTAGGGGGCCTGGGAGGAGCGCGACGGGGCCTGGGAGGGGCGCGACGGGGCCTGGGAGGGGCGTTACAGGGCCCAGGAGGGGCGCTACGAAGCCCAGGAGGGGCGCGACGAGGCCCAGGAGGGGCGCTACGGGGCCCAGAAGGGGCGCGACGGGGCGCTACGGGGCCTGGGAGGAGCGCGACGGGGCCCAGGAGGGGCGCTAGGGGGCCTGGGAGGAGCGCGACGGGGCCTGGGAGGAGCGCGACGGGGCCCAGGAGCGGTGCTAGGGGCATGAGCGGAAGCGGTAGGTGGGGGGGGGGATCCTACCTACGCGTGATACCATATCAGAATTGGAATTGAATAATGGTAAAGTGAGAGTACACACAAATATACCTAAGTGTTGTACCCTCTAAGCGGTAACCCTATACAGTCTATACAAACATGACAAATACAGATGTTTGACAAGTACAACACTTGGGCTTATACCCTTGTACGCTTTATTCTCTCGACATTCAATCCTACGTTGAGATAACTACCACAGCTGATTTAAAGGCAACTATCATAGCAAGTATAGCAACATCTGTAACCCCACCACCGCCATGCCCCATTCATCCATGCCCACATATCCATCCACCTGTCCCCATCACTGCTGTCGCTGCTCCTGCACTCATTCCCAGGAATGAAAGAATGTGACATGGCTGAAAGGGATCCTAACAGCAAGAGGAGAGGAGGAGGAGGGGCCACCAGTGGCAGTGGTATTGGGAAGGTTTCGGGTGCAGCAACCAGTTAGAAGGATGCGCATCACAATGTATTGTGGGTCCTCATGCCATGCCGGGAAAAAACAGTATAAGGATGCGCATCTGCGCATTCCTGAGAATGGCAAGGCGTGGAGAGAAGCCTCACGAAAGGCATGCAGTAGCAGTGGTTGGCACACCAGTGCGTTCGATAACATTGAGAGATCAACACAAAAGTATGGATGTACCAACATTAAGAGGCCACGCGTGCATGCACACATGCCCACACACCACACATGCGCACGGAATGCCGAGCTGACAACCCAGCAGAGTCCATAGTGGCAGTGAGGGAGAAACGGAAGAGAAGAGTGGAGAGGAGGGGACGGGAGGGAAGGAAGGAAGGAAGAACAAAACGGACGAATGACGAACAGCAATTGTGCAGATAGCAACGACTCTGCAAAACCAAGGGGCAGAGAAAATCAGCCCATAAGGAACCCGGTCAAGAGAATACGATTAATGAGCAAGCAGAGCGCAAAGTTTCTTCAGCCCATACTTGCTGTTGCATTTTTTCCTCCGTTGCTGAAGCAGCCACTGCAACCGGTTCTGGCTATTTGATCAAAGTCCGAGATCTGGTTGCGGGCTGTCTAAGATAATTAGTTACTTGGGTGACAAGTAATGGGGGAAAGGGGGAAGGGGGAAAGGGGCGGGGGTGGGGGGGGGGGTGGGGGAGGGATGGTGTGAAGGGATCTTACCAAAGAGGGGGGACAAGGTCAGAAGGGTTGTAGTAGCAGGGGTAGTGGTGGTTGCTGAAGGGAGGACGGCTCAGTGGGAGGATGGTTAGGGGGGGAGAGCCAAGGACGAAGATGATGAAGATGGCAGTCTGAGGGATGGTGGGGTTTGACGTGGAGGGGGGGGGGAAACCACCGACGGGGGAGGCAGCAGCATAATATTTGGCAGAGACAATCTCAGTCGCTAGAGCACGCTCTTAAAATCCACGACTACCCTAAATCGTATTGCGTTCGGTCTAAGCTATTTCTTCCATAAAAATGTCTGCAGATCCGCATGGTAGTCATTACCTTGCTCAGATGGAAGAACCACCAATATTTTCCATCCGTCCGACCCCCTCGTTCTTCGCCTGGCTAACGTTAACGGTTTTCGCATGCGATTTCCTTTGTTTATATTTTGCAATCATAATAACAGCTGCCAGTCGCGACTATTCCTGCCCGACCTACCCCGGGGACGCGTCGTGCTTCTAGAGTGTCGTCTAATTTCTTGCCACGATGCACTAGACATGCGCCGAAGTGTCTAATCTCTCAGGCCTTTACCAACACCCACGGTGACTACTTCGCTACCAAGCAGTCAAGTAATAACTAAACAGCGGCGAGGTGGCGAGCGAACAGTCTTTTGACGACAAAGCGGAAGTGACGGAATGGAAGGCAGACTCGTTACGGCGTAGTGCAGCCGTTCCGTGCGAAACAGTAGTCGGAAGGACAGTGCGGACCTGCTTCGCGAATCCAGCCGGTTTTGAATTCACGACGGGTTAACGACATTCGCGAATTTAGTCTGGACCCGTTCGAAATGGCTGCACCACGCCATTAGGTTTCAGTTCGGTGGCAAAACAGGAGAAATCTAACACAACCGATCTGAACCCATCCAACTCTGTCACTAACCTCGCCTCATCCACCAATTTAACGAGGTCACTAATTTAGGTCCACTAAGAATTCTGGACCCCAGATCAGCCTTCCACTATGTCCTACGGCTGCTTACCAGTAACATGAGTAGTACAACAGAGTAGCAACATAAGCACCCCAATATTTGATTCACCCAGCAGCTAATTAGCGTTTCCATCCGAGGAAGCTTGTAAGGCAGCAGATTGTCAACCTGGACAAAGCTGAACCCACTTGACCCAATTCGCAGGATCCACACACACGCGACCCAGTTCGAAGTATTCCCCAATCCGACATTTCGCATACTGTATCCCAATAGGCTGACCTGGCGTGCATCCGAATGCCCAACAGATTTCGCAAACAGCCTCGCCACAGAAACTTCGCATCTACCCATTGTCGCCTTCGCAACAACCCCGCGCCTCGATGTCCGTAGAATTCGAATCTCAAATTTTCGAACATAAATAACTCCCACTGATCTTCTAAACCATCGAACCAGTCATCCCCCAGCTCTCCCACTCCCACCAGCCGACATCCCGCTTTATCTCAGCTTGATCCCCAAGCTCCCGCCATCATGGCTGCTCTTTCCTCCGCCACCGCGGCTTCCGCCGCTTCCGCCTTCTTCGCGTCGAGCGCCGAGCTCGCGGCGAAGGTGAACAACGTGGAGAGCCGCGTGACGATGCGCAAGACCGTGAAGGCCGCGGACAGCCTGAGCCAGTGGTACGGGCCCGATCGCAGCCTGTTCCTGGGCCCCTTCTCCTCGCCTCCCGCGTACCTGAAAGGCGAGTTCCCCGGCGACTACGGGTGGGACACGGCGGGCCTGTCGGCGGACCCCGAGACGTTCGCGAAGAACCGCGAGCTGGAGGTGATTCACTCGCGCTGGGCGCTGCTCGGCGCGCTTGGCATCGTGTTCCCCGAGCTTCTGGCGCGCAACGGCGTGCCGCTGGGCGAGGCAGTGTGGTTCAAGGCGGGCGCGCAGATCTTCAGCGAGGGCGGGCTCAACTACCTGGGCAACCCCAGCCTCATCCACGCGCAGAGCATCCTCGCCACGCTCGCCGTCCAGGTCAGTCAGAGACAATGGTTTCGCTTTTCTAATCTCCCCATCACTGCCGTCGATCGCCGTTCAGGATCGTCCCGACGCTTGCTCTTTCTCACGCCTCAAACGCGCTCTCGGTTTCTCTTTCCCCAGTCGCTTCTTTCCTCGCTTGACGAACTGAATTTCGGATATGCGTAACGAACACGTTGCTGACTCTATTTTCGTTTTGTAACGTGGTAACCCGACGGCCTCGCGCAGGTGGTGCTGCTGGGATTGGTGGAGAGCTACCGCGTGGGCGGGCTGGAGGGATTCCAGGAGGTGGACGACCCGATCTACCCGGGCGGAGCGTTCGACCCGCTGGGGCTGGCGGACGACCCCGACGCGTTTGCGGAGCTGAAGGTGAAGGAGCTGAAGAACGGGCGGCTGGCGCAGGTGGCGGTGCTGGGCTTCTTCGTGCAGGCCATCGTCACCGGCAAGGGGCCCCTCGAGAACCTCGCCGACCACCTCGCAGACCCCGCCGCCAACAACGCCTGGGCCTACGCGCAGAACTTCGTGCCCGGCGCCTAGAGAGGAGCTGTTTTCGCCGCCGAGAAGATGACGCGCCGAACTTCGTGCCTGGCGCTGTGAGGGCGGAGTTCAGAGAACATAGCGGCTGGTGCTTCTTTGATTGCTCTTATTTGTACAGCCCGCTTTGATGTATGTATAGTTGAAATGCTAAATCAAATAGCTCAATCAATCCTTAGTTTAGGGCCCTAGAACACCAGCATCCTCAGCTGCCTTGGTGTTGCACACGGCCAGTTGCTGTTGAGAGGAGCCCATTGCGGGGCATTGCTCCTGATATGCACAAACCAGTAAACCACAGCCATTGCAAGTGGGGCACAATGACCAATCCCAACACATGCATAACTACCACAGCAGATTGAAAGGCGACTATCATAGCGAGTAAAGCAGCATCTGTAACCCCACCACGAGCATGCACCATCCATTCATGCCCACATATCCATCCACCTGTCCCCATCTCTGCTGACGCTGCTCCTGCACTCATTCCCAGGAATGAAGGAATACTAAGAGCAAGAGGAGAGGAGGAGGGGCAATCAGTGGCAGTGGTAGTGGGAAGATTTCGGGTGCAGCAAGCAGGTATAAGGATGCGCATCACACTGTATTGCTGGTCCTCATGCCATGCCGGGAGATAACAGTATAAGGATGCGCATCTGTGCATTCCTGAGAATGGCAGGGCATGGAGAGAAGCCTCACGAAAGGCATGCAGTAGCAGTGGTTGGCACACCAGTGCGTTCGATAACGTTGAGAGATCAACACAAAAGTATGGATGAACCAACATTAAGAGGCCACGCGTGCATGCACACATGCCCACACACCACACATGCGCATGGAATTTCTAGCTGACAACCCAGCAGAGTCCATAGTGGCAGTGAGGGAGAAACGGAAGAGAAGAGTGGAGAGGAGGGGATGGGAGGGAAGGAAGGAAGGAAGAACAAAACGGACGAATGACGAACAGCAATTGTGCAGATAGCAACGACTCTGCAAAACCAAGGGGCAGAGAAAATCAGCCCATAAGGAACCCGATCAACAGAAAACGATGAATGAGCAATCAGAGAGCAAAGTTGCAGCCCATAGTTGTCTGAATGCCTTCGAACACTCGCCATACCATCATGCTGCTGCTGCCGAAGCTGCTGTTGCATTTTTTCCTCCGTTGCTGAAGCAGCCACTGCTGCTGCAGCTCCTGTGCCCGGCCTGCGGGCGCTGACAGTGCTCGTTGTGACTGGATTCTCCATCAACTATCATCTCGAGAGAATTTCAGCGTGAACAACCTCTCAAGCCCCACGGTTTGAAGAAGAGACGAGGAAGCCCTTGGGGTGAGCCAGCGACTCTGCTGGTTGCCTTAGCTCCAGCATGGCTTGCCTTTCCTGCTAGCCAGTGCATCCCTGTGCAGACACAGCAGGCCTAAGAGGAGGAGGCAGGAGGATGGAGGGAGGGAGAGAGGGAGAGAGGGAGGGAGACACGGGGAGGTAGGGAAGGAACGAAGAAGGTCAGTTCCATACTCTCACTGCCTGTGAGGTCTCACCAGTGAGCGTGAGAGGAACATGGGATGAAGGAAGTGCAGCAGAGATGAGAGGACAAGTCAGAAGCGGCAGAGGCATGAGAGGGAGAGAATGATAGGCGTCACAAACCTAGAATTGAATAATGATAGAGTTAGAGAGTACATGCACATATACCTAAATGTTGTACCCTCTAGGAGGTTACCCTATACAGTCTATACAAACATGATCAATAAACATGTTTGACACACCCCCTGGACTGCATAGGGGAATGTCCTAAACAAGCAGCTCAGGGCGGCACTACTAGTCCAGCCTCTGAGACAAGGGTCTAAAAGACCAGTCAGAAGGAGTACAGACAAGACAAGAACAAGTACAGGGCGGCACTACTAGTCCAACCACTGTGAGAGGACACAAGTCCAGTCTGAGTGTACACATATATATAGGACAGTACAAAGTCAAGGCCCGAGTAAGTGAGGGACTACAGGAACCAGACCAAGCTGTACACAGTGCCGCTGATGATCTTTAGGCGCAAGCGCCTTCGTAAAGATATCAGCTGTGTTGGCACCGGAGGCCAAGTGTACTACGCGAGCCTGGCGACGCTGCTGGAGCTCGCGCAGGAGGAAGTACCGCAGCTGGATGTGCTTCGCTCTACCCTCAAGTCGAGGCTCCTGACACAGGAGGATCATGGCCCTGTTGTCAGCGTACAAGACCGGGGCAGAGCTAGGCCGCTCACCTAAGTCAGTGAGCAAGAAGGTCAGCCAGCGGAGCTCCTGTGCCGCCATGGCACCGGCGTAGATCTCAGCCTCACAGCTGGACTGGGCAACAGACGAGGAGCAAGTAGCTCTCCACGAGACAGCACCTGAGCCAAGGCTAAAGCAGTAGCCCTGGGAAGACCTGAGCGTCTCGGCGTCGTCTGCCCAAGAAGCGTCTGTGTGTCCAGTAAGGACCACTGGCCTGCGTCCGCCTAGCACTAACCCCATGCCCGATGTACTTGCAAGATAACGCAAAACCCTCTTAGCGGCAGACCAGTGCTGAGGTCGGTGTCTGCCTGTGGCCACGAAACGAGCCAGGATGCTGAGAGGGTATGCGAGATCTGGGCGAGTGCAAGTCATCAGGTACATAAGGCAACCCACTAGCTCAGCGTAAGGACCACTGGGATCTACCGACTCCTCAGGAACTGGAGCGGAGAGTCTGTGGTCCAGAGGAAGAGGGGTGGGCTGTGCGGAGGAGAACTGAAGGCCGAACCTCTGAAGGACCTGGCGCACCAAGTGTGACTGAGTCAGGGTGATGGTGCGCGCGGCTCTGTCCCTGGAGATCTGCAAGCCAAGGTAACGGCGCAGCTCTCCAAGGTCAGTGCAGGTGTGTCTCTTCAGCAGCTCTGCCTTCACGGAGGCCAGTGCGTCCCTGTCAGCTGTGGCAAAGACCAGGTCGTCTACGTAGACAAGGATGTAGAACGGGGTCGGGCCAGCACGAACGAAGAGCGAGGGGTCTGCAGAGGACGGAAAGAACTGCAGGTCAGCAAGGGTAGCACGCAGCGTGTCGTGCCACTCACGAGGCGCCTGGCGCAGGCCGTAGACTGGACGCCGCAGAAGCCACTGGGTCCCAGGGGGGAAAGTGCCAGTAAAGCCCTGAGGACGACGCAGGTAGACCTGCTCGTGAAGGCTGCCCTGAAGAAAGGCAGTGGAGAAGTCGAGCGAGTGAAGCTCGTAGTCACGCTGAGCCGCTACGTGTAACAGAACCCGAAGAGTAGTCATCTTCGGCGTAGGAGCGAAAGTCTGAAAGAAGTCCACCCCCTCGCGCTGACTGAAGCCTCTAGCCACATAGCGCG